TAGACATTCTAAAGATAATTTTGAATATTTAGAATTAACAATTGTGAGGCAGCGTGGTGGAATCAGGCACTCGTCAATTTTTGGGCAGGTAGAGTTATTGGTATCATCTTAAAGCTTGTTCATTTGTCTTTATTATTGGATGAACAAAATATCCATCTATCTTAAATACAAGTCGAGATATTTGCGAATGAAGGGGGTGGGGGTCACCTGTTTTCAGAGGTAAAGTTAGTGAGAAAATGGCTTCCAAAGATTAATTCTTTCCTTTGCTTAAGATTCCGTGGTAACTGAAAATTTACATTGTTGTGCCTTTAACCAACGTTTTTAAGAAACATCCACACATAAATGAGTTCTTTAATGGGCATGAAAGGTGTTGAGCTAAAACACAAAAATTTGATATAAATTCACAAACCTGCGAAAAAATGCAAGTTTCTTCACTTTGATTATTTTGACGAGAGCCTGATTCCACCACGCTGCCTCACAATTATCTATTATCATAAAGTACTGTATTGTAAACTGTAGGCCTAACCTTTTACTCTTAGTCTTTAGCGGTCGTGTTCATCTAAATCAGCTGCTTAAAAATTGTTGTCTTCATCTTCGCTAGTACATGTATAAGTATAAGCAGAGACTACTGTCTGATCAGATATTTCCGAAATTGACAATTGTTAAGGTTCTGCGTTGTCCATTCCACAGTCGTCCCCCATATGGAATGTGGATGGCCTGACATGGACTGGAGAAAATGCTGTTTTAGAAAGCGTTTTAGGCACCTGCAACACAATACGGTCCTATAAGTGCCGAAGATTAGATATGTTACAAGAGAGTAACAAAAGCAAAAAAGTAACAGTAAGAGAGATCAGGACGACGGATGTTTGATAGGGAAGAAGGAGCAAACCACAACAGAGAACCGCTAAACACCCGTGGAGACCAAATGTGAAAGAAAAAGAAACCTAAACGTTAAAACGAAAAAGGAAAGGGGCTGAGATTCTAAAATTATCCCAATACAAGCTGTATCCAATCTGTTTAAGACAAAATATAGATCAAACGTACGGTAGAATGATAACGTTTTCATTTTGTAATTCTGATGAACTCGATTAAAAACTTCCAAATAGAGGTACAGAAACAACTAAACAGACCAGTCTTCGTATTCCTACCAGTGTAAATTAGGACCCTCAACAAAGCGCAGCAAAATAAATTAGCAGCATCTGAATTTAAGTGTCTGACAATAATGTCAAACATCACAAGAAGAGACGGACTACGAAGCCAAGACAGCATCGAATTCCGAATGAAATACATCGAGAGACAACAAATTAGGTGGTTCGAATACGTAATGAGAATGGATTTTCAACAGAGAGCGTTTACGTTTAAGCCTACACCATGCAATGTAATTCAAAGGCTTCAAGACATAGGAAAGGCACAAGAAATAAAGATGGATTGAAGGAGTTAAAGAGACCTGCAAATTGAACAACAAGACTATTCAAACAGCAACACACCTGAACCTTCGTCCGAAAGTTGCATCTCTCTCTCGACGCCTCTCGGTATAAGAGGACAGAAAAAAGTGAAGTAAGTAAAATATCAACTCACATGGCCCACATCCGACAATTGCATCTCCCCTCGAGACCTCGACAGAAAAAATAGGTAAAAGTAAGAAAGCCTTTTACAAAAGCGTTTTGAGATACTATTCCCATGAAAAAAGTAAACAATTACGGCCAACAATCCAAGGTGTTGATTATGCAAGCGTGTTACCTGCACTATTAGTAATGTATGTAGACACGCTATAAAATGTACATATAAATTATACTGCACAATGTCCACCTTTTTTTAAAGAGGCATGATAGCTATTATTCTTTCCTTTTCTATATCCTATAGCTTCCAAAAATACAAAGAACGGAATCCCAAACTCTAAGCTCCACGGTCACGGAACAATTCCTTTTGCTTCAACTTCAACTAAGTCAAGCTGCCCCACAAACCAGGACAATTGCCGAGAAAATGCCAACGTAAGAGTTGACCTAGTTTGAATAACTTCGGAGTGCAGCTCAGCCACTTACGACACTTACGTATAATAATTTGCCAGTCGGGGAGCACGCCTTGCCGAATGCCTGCAGTGGCATGTTAATACTTAGTATGAAAGCTAGAGCCTTTTAACATAATACTATTATTATGTGAGTGTGCTTGGAGAAATGCCCTAGTTGTTGCCAAAGCTAGTTTTGAGCATGGGAGAGAAAATGCTAGAAAAGTTGTACGTGGTCGAAAATTTAGTTCCATCTGAAAACACAAGTTTAACTATTTCTTAATATTTTATAAAATATTGGAAGGATTTTATGATATCATCTTAAGTCTAAATAGTTGGGTTTTTTTTTGTGCAACATGGTGTAATTCGCCAAAGTTTAAGAATGTTCTAGAAATTTTGGTTTTTCTCTATATTTTGTTTTCACACCTTGTGTTACAGCCAGTGGCGGTGGGTAGTGAAGGGCTCACGGGCTTGAGCCCCCCTCCCCACCCAACCCCAACCCCCCCAAGTCTATCCCAAGGCAAATGAAAATAACGAAATAAGCAGTTGAAACTGTTCTGATCGACCGCAATGAACACAGAGTGATCAACTAGGCGGCTTGCTCGTTTATCCAATCACTGTTGTCCCCGCTTACAACTATAGTGACCTAACAGCCAATCAAATGTCTTTAGGGCTCAGCAATCAACCAGCCCGTTCCCACGGTCTCTCCTTAATGAAACCCCTCTTGTAAAAAGGTAGAAGACTTGAAAAAAATAAAAATAACACTGCACAGAGGGCTCACGCTCTCCCAGCCCTGACAATGGGGTGAAAGTTTACGACACACTTTCCCCCAGTAACACAGTTACCTATGCGCCCATTGGGCCTTTGTTAGGCGCGTTCTATTTTCTGCAACAACACGACCCAATCCACCTCATACACGGTGTGTGTTTGGAGTGCTGTGTGTTTGTGCCGCTGAGATGTAACAATAATCAAATAAAAACTAATTAGAGAAATTTGGAGGTGAAACGGCTTCGTCCCCACCATGCAGAAGAATTTAACGTAGAACAAAGAGATGGCAGACAAAGGTGACTCTTCTCGTTTGAATGGTTCTCAAAATGCCGTGGCTCACCGTGAGTATAGGAAAATCATCACTGTGTTGTTCTTATTGCTTCCTTTTTGGTGGTAAAGAAGTGGAAGAAACCTAAGCCCCACCCAATTCTAGGTTCACCCACCGCCACTGGTTACAACATGTGGTAAACTCAAACATATAATTTATAATTCAAAAATAGATAGAGAGCTGGATAGATATATAGATAGATTGATAGATAGATGGATGGATGGATGGATGGATGGATGGATGGATGGATGGATGGATGAATGGATAGATAGATATTGCCACAGTACATACAATACTTCATCGGTCAATTTTACTGACAGTTTCCACTTTTTTCGGGAATTTTTTTAGGAAGGGGGGAGGGCTACATCCCCAAAGTCAAAATTCGGCTAAAATTTATGGAATTTGAGTTGAAGGCATTTTTGGCTTCCTCTGCCTCTCTTACAACTATTTCATAGCATAAGAACCCCACAAAACCGTATTTTTCCCATAGCGGGCATGTTTGTCACCGCCATTTCCTAAAAAAAGTCAGTATTTTTTTTCTTTATCGGCCGTTTTCTCAAAACGCGACTTTTCTCTATACTTTTTTGAATAACTCCACCATTTCTCTTTCAACCGTCATGATATTTTCACAGAACGAAGAAAAGATGTAATACTAAAACTTTCTCTGTTGAATTTTTGATATATAGAATAGATTTTTGTTGGTGGTGTCTGGAGTGTGGATTTTCAAAGATTTTTTTGCAAACTTGACTGCTACCTCAGGAAAAAAATCATTAAAAATTTTCTTATTCGTTTAGGAAAAAAACAACAGACAAATATTTTTAGATGTATTGTTTGTAAACACGCATGGAATAAAAATCAATTTCCATGAGCGATAAGTGCGGTATTCATTACATAAGAAATGTCAACAAAATCGAATATGGCCGCCACAAACATGGAAACGAAACTTTTTTCGCAAATTTGATTGCGGATTCTAAGACTCCTTACTATGCTTGTTATATGTGTGAAATTTGGTAAAATTCGATCCATAATAAGCGAGATAGCCTTCAGGTGTAGCCCCTCCCCCCTTAAAATTTCAAGATTGGGTAGAGAGGAGTTTCCTATTTCCTTCTTTCGTTCTACAGTTTGAATTTGTTGCCTTGATTTAATAAGTAGTCGTTTAATAATATCATTTTATACTCCCCCCCCCTAAAAAAAAAAACATTGTAAAAAATATAAAAAAACAAAACAAAACAAAAAAACCTCAAACATTAAAAATCAGCGTGTTCAGCATTACATTTTCTACAAAGATATGCCCTTATCTTAATACCCAAATGTTTCGACAACTGGGACATTTCTCCACGCACACACACATAATATTGTGTCTTTACCTGTTTTTGTAAGCCCCAGCATTTCAGAAAAGGTTGGTTGACGGATTCAGCGAAGGTTAGAAATATTCGCAAACTACGCCGTACTTTGAAAGAAATTAAAAAAAAATGATAATCGTGGCATCTGTCTGTTTTTCTTTCAGGGAATTAGAAGAAGAGCTTCATTCGTTCTTAAGAATGCCAAATAAATCTGTTGTTACTTTTGTTCTGGCATTTCCTCAACTTCCCACTCAATATATCGCTCTACCTTCTAGGTTCTTCACATGTTGCTTTTTAAGCATCAAGAAAAGGAAAACATTAGTAACGAGAACAAAACAAGCGAAAACAAGGAAAACGAGAAATAGTTGATACCAAACCCAAATCAATGTAATCAAAATGAAGAGACATTTCAATAACGTATCGATATGCAAGGACAGCAGCTGTATTGTCAAAGAAAAAAGTACAAACCGAGGCAAAGCAAAAACAAAGAGCAAACATGAAAGGAAACTCAATTTAATTAGTTAAAAGCAGCTCAATCAGTAGAGAACAACAAATAGCGTTTTGAATAACTATTTGTTATTGCATCACAAGATTTTCATTCTTTCCATTAAATATAAAGCAAAATGAGACTGCAATCATATTGTGTGTACAAAACATTGATTATTCTGTTTATTCGACCAGATTGTAATTCTATGTGCTGGCTCCATAAGAAGGTAACAAAATCAATAAATCAATTATAAAACATACATCTATCCCATCCTTTTTTTTATCTCTCTTTATCAAAGGCAACAACGCCAAATACTCAATTTTCTGTTGCTATCAGGAATCGTGTTTTCTAGATCAGAAATAAACCCTGGTGACATCGATGTGAATACCTGACATTCCATTGAAAACAGACACAACGTGAATTGAAACGGGAGTTATTCCCTTAGAAGAGAATCGAGAACTCCACTGGCCCTATGAAGACTGTGTTTCGCTCCTAAAAAAAAAACAACTGTTGCCGACTCGCCTGAATACAACATTTACTGACCAACTGGAATGCTGTTCAAGTGCATCGCTGCATTGTAGAGCGTATCTTTACTTCCTCAACGGCTAAGCTATCGGCCAGGCCAACAATAGCAACAGACTACACATACTGTTGACGATGGTGTGAAAGACATGGAAAGAAAATTGAGGACAATAAGGGTATTACAATTTTCTTTCCCCTACCTCTCGTATACGATTAGAGCACAATTAGACATTGAGTACTACGCATTATACCCTACACTGGGAAATACACCGGTAATAGAGGAAGAGAAAGATCACGGAAGAGGATACTGCAATGCGTACCGGCGAAAACTGTTCACAAACCTGGACTACTACAGTTGAGTTAATCCACAAGTTGTAAACTCGAATGACAACTGCATACCGTGTCCGGGCTGAAAAGGCGGCATAGAGTGAAGGAAGATAAGAACAGCAGTTACGTATGTATCATGTTCCCATTTGAAAGGCCGGAACAAATTATTTTTGATACGGTGGTTATTTGCACTCTTATTTTTCAACTTCCGTTTCTTTCATGACAGGGAAAACAACATACTTGAAGCAGTTTGACTTAGCTTGTTCCTTTAACTCTTTCAAGTGAAACATCTCATTTGCGTCGGTCATGCCGTTTAGTCCTCAGAAATACGAACTTAAAAATGCCCTATCTCATAATTCTTTTTAGTAATGCATCCCATTCAGGGACATGCATAATTTTCCTGATGAATGTACGCAAATTATGTACGGTTCTCCTAATAAGGGAGTATGCATCTTTTAATTGATTAATAAAAGACGTTTACAATATTATGCTGTCAATGCACCTCGTTGATTCTGGCATGGACTGGGGGACCTCGCCGAAGTAAAAAATAGCTACATTCTCAGACACTGTTGGAGGCAAACACATGACCTTGAGGGCTGACCTCCCGCACACTAGCTTTGGACACGATATACCAATGGACTTGAGAGACGATATCGTCGATGTCCGGCCGGTTCGCCGGGTTCTTGTCTGTGCATCTGGCGATCAGCCTGAAAACCCCCCCCCAACAACAACAAAATAATCGAGGGTAATTTAGATTTTTCAGAGGGCAAGTTTTAACCCTGCCTGTCAGGGCCAACCCCGGCTCAGAGGAGTAAAATGTCCCAGGGGAAAGACCGATAACCTCGATCAAATTCTCACCACATGGGAACTGAATTTGGGCTTTCTGCTTGAGACAGCGAAGCGCCTAAACACGTTACCACGGAGGTTGATGACCATCCTGAGGAGCTATGAAAAAGGGCTAGGCGAGTAAGTGTATAAGTAGGTCACGACATAGGGTTATGTGTTTGAGTGGATAAAACTGAATTTATACACCTCCTCCTACTTTCATTTGATCTTTATTGATCCCATGCGTCCATACGGGGTCTCCACACTCCGCTGGGCCACATTTGGATCAAAGTGACTTTCTTTGCAAAAAGGCTTTTACTTTTAAGAGAGAGGTGGAAATTAACTTTCAGTTCAACCCTTAAAGTAGACCTATGTCATGTAAAAATGGAAAATATGTGCATAACACAGGCCAATAGTTTTGATGTTGAGGTGCAATTGGTCACTTTTAAGCACCAGGGGGCTATCCCGAAAAATGCTGTTTTGAGAAAATCGAAGGTAAAGTTTTTGCCCCTTCCTCTTTTTTAAAAAAAGACAAGGGGGAGTTTTGTCTGTAATCATACAAAATATACATACCAATGAAACCAAACTTATCTATTATCTATTTGTGGTTGTCGAATTTTGCTATTCAAAAGGTTTTTTAATTACTGCAGCGACCGACATGCGGTTTTCGCCAAAAGATGCTTAAAAATATTCTCGAGATCATGACGCCCTAGTTATTTTTTTCAGTTTTGAGACAGTTTTGCTGCTAGAAGCTACATTTATTTATTTCAACGACCCCCTCCCCCCGCCCCCACCCACCTTCCCACTCACGTCGCCTAGAAACATCCTCCTTGAATTGCAGGGAATGTGTCGGTGACTTTTTTTCTTTCGTTGAACTTTTAACGCAGGCGACCCATATACAGGTGCCGATAACTGATATCTTTGTGTTGTTTAGGCGATTCACCGTCGCACGCAGAAGGCCAGATCAGATTCCCGCGAAGAAAGATTATGTCGAGTATCTCGGTGTTCCTACTTGGATATTGTATTCAAGGTTGGCACTGACATGCAGGGTTCAAGCCCGCCTACTGAATGATTTAAATCGTATTGCCCTTATTAGTTAACGTTTTACGGCTTTTGAAACACAAGTGGTGCAGATTTGAGAGTAACATACAAAGAAAAGAATGAGGAGAATTTTAGTTTTAGGAAAAGTTTTACGATTCTTGCAACAGTAATAGGCATTAAGTGCTGAAGATAAGAGGTTTTACACACGAAGACTAGCAGAGGTAAAGCAGATAAATCTTTGATGAGAAAAAAAGAGCAAACCATACTAGTGTACACACCAATCGTCCAGAATCATAGAAAAGGCAAGTCAAAGCATGCTACATTGTATCAATGAAGGGGTAAAAATCTCTAAATTACAAATGCAGACACACAGACACTGAAACGATATAATATTATACCCACGAAACAAATGTGGGAACTGGGTGAATACACTGTCAAGTTATTTCATTCAAAACTTTATTTGAACTTGTCTACATCCCCCACATTTATTTATAGAACAACCCGTCATACTCTATCCACCTTTTATACCATCATCACAACCACTACCACTACCACCACCACTAACAACAACAACAGTAAATCCACTACCCATCTCTATTTCCACAGACAACAACAACAACAACAACAACAACAACAACAACAACAACAACAAAAGCAACAACAACATCGATAACAAATCACCACCAACAAAAAAACAACAACCCAGAAACAAACGACAACAACTGTACTGCTGTGCCAATGCAGACCGACGTATCTGCAATTTAAAAAAAAAATCTTCGATTAAATGGGCGTCTATACCAATTCTAAATCTTGTGTCAAAGGCAGAAAAGGGGCTCTCGTGGCATAGATGTTAAGGTGTTGGCCTCTCATTCAAAGGTCCCGGGTACGAATCCGGGTAGCGACCGAAAAATTTTCTTCTAAAAAATTGTCTCCTTTCACCTCTTTTCCTGCTCTCTTGCAATGTTCTGTCGTCTGCTTTCGTC